GTTTATATTAAGTGGTTGGTGTGATGGTTCCAGACTGAAATATAACAATTACTAGACATAAAATATTGTACGGATGTTTATGGTTACCAGAAGATGAAACCTCAGGACATGGATCAACAGATTAGCATTTGTAGTTTTGAGTGAAATGTTTCAACAACTATTAGTTAGCGTCGACATTGTTCCCCCCTCGGGATGATTTGCGATAACTTTAGTGATCTCTTGACTTGTCGTCAAGAGATCCGCGCTGCCTCCTGTTTGGAGGACCTGGCTGCATCCTTGTTTTGATTGTTTATTTAGTTTAGTTACTGGTTCATTAAATAAATGTCTATTTATTACTTTTAACTTGTCTTGTCTCCCTCATGTTATGGCCTTTTGAGCCGGCTCGTGACAAAATTAAGTTTAAAATTGTGTTTAAATGTAATTTAACGTAATTACTTATCGTTGATTGGTTACGTTTTGCTAATTTTGAAGGTATGCTAACGGTCAAACCGAGGTCAGTGGTTAGACAAGCTAGCCGCTGCCATCATGGCGGATTATGGGAACTTTGTTTTCTCGGAGCGTGATAGAAACATGAAAAAGTAAAGGAATATGCTGACTCAGCCGCTGCCATGTTGATAGAACACCGGTTTAAATAACTTAAACGTAACTTACCTCGCTTGAGAGAGACATTCGCTGGAAAGCGGATTTTATTGACCTAAAATTACTGATGCTCGGGATCGGTGGAGGAACGTTAGCTAACGTACGTAACGTCTAACCGGTAACGTTCAGTCTCCCTGTTTTATGCAACGTTAAGCCTATTTCATTTAAACTTTTCCTGTGTTTCCGGGACATAAGAACCTCTAGTTTAGTGATGGCTAGAGGGTCGCATGTCGTGTGAGTGGATGGAGTAGCATCCCTTATAATGTGATTTTTTTTTTTTAAACGTATGTTTAATTGCTAAAATAAAGCATTTAAACAGTGACGTGACATCCAAAGCTGTACACCTCACCAGCTCTCATGAACGCCTGGTATTTGGTTATGCAATTAATCTTAACATTTTGAATTAGCAAAAACAGTTTAAAGCCAACAACTCCCCCCACTCCCCTACCTGCAACACATTTTTTTTAACTGTTGTTTCTCGTTTGATTTTTCTAGGTGATAAAGAACCTTATTAGTACTGATTTTTTTGGTTGTGCAAAAAGAAGTTCAACAGGTTTTGTGTGTTCTGTTACCACAGGGAGTCGTTGTTCTGCATGAAATCTGCGAGCTGTGGGAAGTCGTTCCACAGTACCTTTGTGCTTTATAAATGATCTGATGGGTGTGATTATTTTTAATACAAACATTACGAAGAAGATTGCAAACCATTGCATATTTTATGTATTTGTAATGTTTAGAATTCAAACAAAACGAGAAAGAAAACTGAAAATCAAACGAAAATGGCATGCTGCACTCCCAGCATGCCTTGCGTCACAATTAGAAAAAAAGAGAAACAAATGTTACGTTTAAAGTGACGCAGTTAATCAGGTACAAAGTACCAGCACAGTCAACAAACACTGCACTGAATGTGTGTATTACTTTGTTATTTCATGATGTTTAAGTACACCAGTGGTGAAACACGTGTCCCCACTAAAGTGGTTCGCCTCTC